GGGATTACGTTTATCATTAAAATCGTATCAGTACCTATGTACATTTTAAGTTCATGTGATTAATTCCGCTTATGAATCAAAATAAAACCAGGAGAAATGTTGATTAACAGTGGTATGCATTCATTACAACTAAATATGCAATAGGATTTAACAGTGATGTGGGAAACAGTTGACATACCTGAATATGAATAAATGAAATGACGTAGGTTATCAATAGTGACTGTATATATATATATATATATATATATATATATATGCAGTGTAAGGTCAAAGGTCATTTGCTTTTACAGTCAATAACACATTAAGAATGGGTGATATAATAGTTGACTCCAGTTCACAGACAGATAAGTGGTGTGAAATTCTTATAGCTTGTAAATGATCCGTGGATTTAAGAACTGAAAACTTGAGTTACGTCATAATTGATTACAATTTGCAGAGGTCACGTAATTACAGAGGGTTAAGTGACAGGGTGATGGAAAAAATGCGTAACTAAATTTTAAAAGTGAAATGAATTATTACATAATCCTTCTTATTACTTGTTCATTCCATGGATTATAAGGAGTTCATATTATTCTCTATCTATATTTGTTCTAGCGTCATATCGACTATTAATAAATACTGACACGGTTTATAACGTAAGACACTAAGTGTAGTTGCTATATTTATATTTCACTAATTCATTTGTTGAATAAAAATGATTTTAATATGGTCTTCCATAATCACAAATTCTATAAGTTGTAGACCGGCGTAAACATCATCACAAGGCTTTGACGACTTCATTTGATTCATACAATTCTGAAAAACAAACAAATCAGTCGTGAAATAAAGAATTAGACCTAGTTATCAATATCACATTTAATAAGTCAATCAAATAGCAGGTTACAGAATGTACTTATAAGTCTCTTATTTGCAGACAGCGCTAATCATTAGAGATTTCTATTTCCTTTAATAAAAATTAATAGGTAATCTTTACAACACACTAATCAGTGTTATTTAAAAATTGCTGAAATCAGGTTCGTCACAACATAGAAGCGTGGTCGGATTTATGAATAAAATGTAATTCAATAATGTGGCATAAAGGCGATATGAATACAAGGAACTTGTGATTCTGCTTCCATTGCTCATTCACTTTTCGTCACGTTGTCTGCATGAATTACTTTGGACGAGTCAGTCTGTAATGCAGTAGGAATTCATGAATTAACTCATTAATAGTTGTTTTTTGATTTAAGTTTGTGTCTTAACAAGCAATGGAAATTTCTTCAGTGTCTAACCCTTGTAGTATTTCGTCTATATATCTGGTATTAGCAAGAGAAATTGGTAAGCACCATTTAGATATTACTCGACTATATGCATCATAACTTTGTTCACATTTTCTTCTGCGATTGTGCATTTCCTTTACAGAGAATTATTCGTCAACCCTCTAACAGACACATAATAAGTCAGTATTAAGTAAGACATGGTTTCGTCACCATGCTCAGAAGAGACACCCATCGATTTACTTATGAAGATTTCGTGCATATTTTATGTGGTGTTACACACTATTTCTGTATAAGTTCAGAAAACCGGTAAAAAAGACTATCAACGTCTATTGTTACTCACATAATTTTTCTCTGATACCTTACACAGTAATATGTCACTTCAGTACAAAACAATGCTACCTATAGTCCAAATAACCTTTTATGGCTAAATACAAACAATTTATATAATATTCATAGTTACTTTAACGCTTACTTCTTTCTAATTTCATTTTATAAACGACTACCAACATCTGTGTTTGCCGTCACCATAATCAAGGAGGTGAACCATATATAATTCTTTTTACGGCTTATTTTCATGAAAACTCAATCTGTAATCTATTTTTGACTACAAAAATGGTGATTTGACTTCTTTGACTTAGTATTGTTAAAAAATAACCATATTACGCCAGCTACATATTTACTTAGGTGGTGAGCACGAAATACGTCAAACTGCTTATAAATTGAAACAAAAACTATCTTTCAATCACAAAGATTACGAAAAGTCATGTATGACGGAAAAAAGGCTGTTAATAGCTGATAAATAACGACACATAAAATCCACGACAATACGTTACACGTGCGCGAAAACCCGTAAACTAACAAGCATAGTGTGCCCACGCGTGTCTGAGTGACTGTAGAAAAGGTTGATTGAGCAGGTTTTAGAATGGAATTCTAGTAGGTTGGATTTATTCGAACTTACGATCCCCGATGAAGTAAAAAATACTGTTACTTGACATACTTTTAGAAATGTGAGTTCAGTGGGGCCAACTTTGAGGAAAATTTGGTCAATTTTGGGGAAGCCTCTATAGTAAATTTTTGGGAAATGAGACGAAAATCGGAAATTCCAGACAAAGTGCATCAGAGTGATAAGCTCGTCCGAAACTTCCGAAGTTGCGAAAATATTGAAAGAAAAGTTTTGCATCCAAGAACCATCCGTCATTAGCAAACGTTTTGGGATTTACGAGCATCATCCAAACGGAGGTTTGTTTCAGTGTTACAAAGTGAATCTTCCAGTATTTTTCCAATTTCACTAGGACATAGGTCTGGAGTAAAACGTATGTTCAGTAGACCGTATTATAGATACTTACCTTTTAGCGATTTCATTTTAAATCATTTTAAACAGCATACTAATATTGTCTTACATATTGCTAGTCACCCCAGTAACGACCTTTTTTCGCTGTTATAGTGCTTCAAAAGAGATGGGTTTTGATTAAAACATTGCGACCAGTAGTCAATCTTTTGTGGTTTTTGCCATGAAGTATATAATATATGTCGCTTAGGTGAACATTTTCTCCAACATAAAGTACAACGAAATACAATGTCATCACGGTAGTCAGCACATCGTGTTGCGGTCATTTGATTGCCGCAGTCACAAACACAGGAACTTCTCAATAGTCCCATCTGCTGTAGTCTCTCAACAATCACCTCTTCTCTAAAATCTGCTGTAAAACGATCGAATGTGAGCATCTCGCATTAAACTTAGCGCCGTGACCTTGAAGTTCCTTAAACGCCTCTGATTGGCTCGTCCATAAATTAGAGTCCTACCGTCGCTTACATTGTTAAATCAAACCACTTTGTATGGTTCGCATTAGCTTAACAGTCATTTTATCAACAAACTCAATAATATTTCGGACAGGTCTTGATAATTTTTATCGCTGAACACGTTAGAGCAGACTAAGTACAGGTTTGAAAGCGTTCTAAATGAAACTAAGAAAGCTGCATGGTCTGATATACAATATTACAGCGAGATTATAATTTATGGACGGACCAATCGGGTATAAAATAACAGGTCTTGAATTTTGGCGCGAAATATACTCATGTATTTGGCTAAATAGATTTGTGGCGCTATAGTTGAAGCCCCCGAATTCCCTGGTATGGCCGAGAGTGGGGAGAGTCCGCTCTCCCTCTCGAAATGCTCTCACATGGCCACGCGTATATAGCCTCTGTCAGGGAAGTTCTACTCATTGCCTTCTCGTGGCGGGGGTGTTGTTTACAAAAATGAGAGGACGAAAAGCGAATGTCCGGCGCTTTAACCGGATTCCAAACTGATGGTGCATATGGGCTCCAGTATCCCGCGGGAACAAATGGCGTATGAACCAATTTTTGGTCACCGGCTTCCATGGGACTGCATCCCCTTACGATGTTCCACTGCCTTGTTGGTCGGACCTTCATGTCGAAGGCTCGGGGAGTGGCCCCTTAAGAAAATCACATGCTTCGGTTTGTGCACCTGGGCAGTATCACAGCCCTCACACATATCGAATGAGATTTGTGTGGCGCATATGTATTTGGTGCCTCCTTGTACGATATCTATGTGTTAAAATTAAAATAAAATAAAAAAGTTCGCGATAAAAACCCCAAATGTAGTTCCTAACCCTAACCACCAACTGTAAATCATAATTCTAATTCCTCACTCAGTTTCATAACGCTCATTTGGTCCTGGTTGATAAGTGGACACTCAGGGTCAGTCTAGCGTCGCTCAAAGGTCGTCCATAAATTATAGTTTCACCGCAGATAGTATCTACTATATAAGCAACACGATAGTTTATTCTTATATTTTTTAAAGATATAGATTTTCTGTTGCTCTAGTTATGGTGATATTTCATTCAAATTTTTAACAATTCAGGTTTGTACTGATTTTACTAGTTTAGTCGCCCAAACTACTCTCATAAACTTACCCGTTCTCCCTAAAAATAATAAATCCCAACATAGTCTGTCAGATTTTGTGAACACAAGTTTGTCTACAACCGATATTTAATGTTGTACAATTAGCCTGGTTTTAAATATTTATCTTTTACCACTGTAATGAGGAAGTGTCTTTTAACAGACTTCTTTAACTGTATTCACTCTTAGATATATACAACGACCAATAGTTTTTTTACTATGTATGAAAGTTAAAACTATAATAATGTAACTCATTCGCGGAATATAGGTTTATTTTCTAGGTTTTTAACCAGTCCGTGAGAGTGAGACTACCTAGTTGCCAAAACCTAACTAGCTTCTGCGAATTGCAAATCACTTCGAGAATCAAGTACATTAATCATTTAAATACCACTTCACTTAGTATAAAAATACATATCTTTGCATTCTGAAAACTAACCAATTCTAATTTAGTTAACTACTAGTAACCATATTGATTAATTCTATAATGATTGTCTTTTAAAGTTTCAGTAAAATAAAACCACAACTTTACTGTGAACGGAATAGTTACCCTTAATATTCGTTTTGAAGACATGTCGAATTTCTTTTTAAGTTCATGTCTTTTTGTTAACTTTATTAGTTAGACGGCTGACAAACGATGAATATCCTTTGTTAGTACAACTCAGTTGGAGTAAATTAGATCGAGAAGGAAAGTTTGTTTTAAAACTGGAACATAGCAGTAGACATATCCAGGTATGTCCTTCCTTTTTTAGGTGGTCAGTTGTTTTTTGTTTTTACCCTCAAAATTGTTATTTCTCTCCCTAACTTTTTGATAGAAAAGTATACATGCACTTACAATTTCACAAAATATATAAAAAAGTAAGTAGTTAGAAAGATTGTTTTAATCGAATTTTAAGCAAATGATCAACAAAACCCAAAGTTTAGTTTGACCTTGTTGCTTAGGTGGTTGGAACCGTGCTTTCCTTAATAAGAGTCCCAAAATAGAGATTTCAGGCTTCAGAAGGATGGAGACCGTTTTGAACTAAAGCTGACATTTTGAGCTCCTACAATTAAAAACACGAAGTTCAGCGGAGGGGTTCCTTCAACGAGCTGTACAATCGTATTTATATATGAAAAATGTTTTATGTTAAAGTTCTAGTTCCATGTGGACATATAAACAAGGAGTAATCATGACGATGCAATCGAAAGATTATAATACTGGATTACGTAATATAAACGATAACAATAGATTTAAGTCTGTGACGAACGATAATGTGAATGCAGTTCCTACAATAATATAAAACATAATTCCATGGCATTCAAGTGCATTCGTATCACTGTTTGATTTTCATAAAGTAGCGCACACCTTTAGAAAATGTGATTTTTTCTGAATACATTTATCTTTTTCGAGTAAATCCGCATAACATACTTTTATTTTAATAAGTCTCTTTTCAAGAAAAATGTTTCAGAAAGTCAAAATGGAACAAATTTATTTAATGGTTCAAATAATAATAGTACTGTTTGTTTATCAGTAATCAACCCTAAAACTCGTCTATTTCAACGTCGCTGATCTTTTCGACGTGAAAAGATTATTTCGCCTGTGACTGTGAAAACAGATGAAAGATGTAGACCACCATTAAGTTGTGCAGCTGGTGTAGGATTGTCGAAAACTCGTTCCAATTTTATTACTGAAAATTCATTGAAATGCTTACTAGGATCAATTAAACAACGTGGTAGTGGCGGCCATGTTATCCACCACAATAATAACAATAAAAATTCAATTTCACTAAATTCTGACGCTCTACCAAACTCATCATTTACACGTGCAATATTAGATCCGGAAACAGCGATGCAACAAAAACGTCAACGCATATTAGAAGCTAAACTTATGCAAATGTTACATCATGATAATATTGAATCAGGTAAGTTTAAGAAGTAAAAGAGTCTTTTAATTTAATTCAACTACTTCTATGAATTCGGTGTTCATCTTGTGCTAATGAGGTGTCATGTTGAAACGATGCACATATGTGCCTGGTCCCACGTTGTAGCTGACTGACTCAAAGATTAAAACTATTGATAGCTAGAATTCGGTATGATTTCGTGTCTATTCAAGTTGTTTTGCAGTATTTTAACGCAACTATAGATAAGAAATCAATAAGGCTACTTTTGAAGTTGAATATCCTGTATGTAGTACATGCTGCAGAATATATGTTGTAATTTGTCAGTACTGTTCTTTCCTAAGCCACACTGTTAAATATTGCCGAGCAAGACTACGAAGTGTTATCGATAAACCACTGGCATACGTAGCTCCACACATACAAAGCTCCATATATGCATCGGTGTTCTAAAGGTTAGGCGTTCTCGCGCGAGACCGAGGGTTCTGGGTTTGAATTCCGCGTGCGAGATCGTGGATACGCATTAGTGAGTAGTCCCATACTAGGACGAAACGACCGTCCAGTACTTCCAGGTTTACAGTGGTGTTCTAGCTTAGATCGTATCCTGGTACGACTGAGAGTGGGGAGAGTCCTCTCGAAATGCTCTCACTTGGCCACGCGTATACAGCGACTACGCGGGAAGACCTACTCACTATCTATTCGCGGCCGGGGTGTTGTATACGAAGTTGCTTCACTGCCTTGTGGATCAGACCTTTAAGTCTAAGACTCCGAGTGTGGTCCCCTAAAAAACCACCTGGTTCGGTTTGCGCACACGGGCAGTATCACAGTCCACACACAAATCAAGTGACTTGTGTGTCGCATATGTATTTGGTGCCCCTTTGTACCAATATTCATGTGTTCAAATAAATAAATAAGTCATAAGCTATAATAAGTGTTAGGTGAGATGACTCGAAAATGGTCATGGTAGTATAGATGTATTTGTGCTTTATCTTATCCTTCATCAGAATCCTATGTTCAACTACTTTCTATGGAAAAATATGCGACACGTTTCATGTGTCTTGTGTCTTAAACTATTATTGATATTATTTTCATTTATATTTCACCTCCTTTTCATTTAATCTTCATAGTTTCACTCGATTACATTTGTATGAAGTGTAAAGCAACTTATGCATATGAATATCTATACTATGCGTTAAATTGTTTATGATAAATGGATTTAAGAATGCTTGAGGTCCAGTAATAAAGTAGTAGTAGCAGTAGTAGAAAACCTCCGCTTGTAACTCTTTAAGGTCTACTGCCGGTCCCTAGCCCGGGTAAAGGAGCAGGGTTGGGAGTGGGGTTGGCAACTTCATCCAATAGAAAACAACCTTTCTAAGACAACGCTAACCAGAATAAACGATTCAAACCACTTACACCCTGCCTTGCGATTTGAAGGAAGAATTATGACGCCTCATGATGAAATGCAAGATTACTCAGAACTCACGAAATTGATGCCTCTTCTAACAACCTGAGCAACAACTTTCATAGGTCCATGAATCGTCCCGATAATGTGGGAGACCAAGACGGCCAGTAAAATAGCATCGGAAATGAGGAGATACGAATTGGCAATACTGGGAATCGGCGAAAACCAATGGACCCAAGCTGGAAAGAAAAGGATAGGTTTGGGAAAGATGCTGCTGTACTCTAGTCACGAAGAACAAAATGCTTAACACACTCAAAAGTCGTTCTGATGCTGTTCAAAGAAGCACGAAATGCACCTATAGGATGGGAGTCTCATGGACGTAGGATGATCAAATTATCCTTCGAAAAAGAGAACGAGGTAATCACAACGCCACATGAATCTCACTGGACCACACCACAGAGAACCAGATAGATGATATTTGCATCAGTAAAAAATTCACAAGGTCAATGGAAGAAGTGAGAACCAGGAGAGGAGCTGACACAGCTTCAGATCACCACCTGGTGATTGCCAATTTAAAACTGAAGCTAGAGAAGCATTGGACAACTGGACAAACAGCATTACACAGGTTCAATACAGCCTTCCTTCGACAAACTCAACAAATTCAAGATAAATCTCAACAACAGGTTTCAAGCCTTACAGGATTTACTGAAAGAAGAAGAAACTACTACGGAGGACAACTGGGAATGGATCAAAGAAGCACTAACCTCAATGTATTAGGAGGTTCTGGGTCTCAAGAAGCATCATCATAAGGAATGCACCTCTATAGAAACGCTGAACAAGATCAAAGAAGGGAAGAACAAGAAGACAGTAATTAACAACAGCCGAACGCGAGCAGAGAAGGTCCAAACACAAGCTGAGTACATAGAAACAAACAAGTAAGTGAAGAAGAGCAGTAGAGCCGACAAGCAGAAATATGTGGAAGAACTAGCAACGACAGAGGAAAAAGCTGCAAGATAAGGAAATATGAAACAACTTTATGATACAACGAAGAAACTAGCAGGGAGATATAGTAAACCAAAGAAACCGGTCAAGGACAAAGAAGGTAGGCCAATCACTGAAGTTCAAGAACAGCGGGACAGATGAGTAGAGTACTTCGAGACCAGCCCCACTGAACCCACCGGATATCGAAGCAGCACACACAGACCTTCCCATAGATGTCCCACCGCCAACGATCGAAGAAATCAGGATGACCATCAGACAAACCAAGAGTAGGAAAGCAGAAGGACCCGACAACATACCAGCTGAAGCACTGAAGTCAGACATGGAAGTAACTAGAAACATGCGTCACCTTCTATTCAGGAAGAGTTGGGAGGAGGAACAAGTGCCGACAGACTAGAAAGAAGGATACCTCATCGCGATACCAAAGAAAGGAGATCTGAGCAAATGTGAAAACTACAGAGGAATCACACTACTGTCAGTACCAGTAAAGGTTTCCAACAAGGTGTTGCTGAACCGGATGAAGGACTCAGTAGACACGCAACTTCGCGATCAACAGGCTGGATTCCGTAAGGATCGGTCGTGCACAAACCGAATTGTGACACTATGGATCATCGTCGAACAATCAATTGAATGGAACTTGTCACTACACATCAACATCCTTGATTATGAGTAAGCATTTCACAGTGTGGATGGGAGAACATTATGGAAACTTCTTCGATACTATGGAGTACCTGATAAAATCGTCAACATCATTCGGAATTCATACGACGGACTTCAGTGCAAAGTCGTGCATGGAGGACAGCTGACAGACGCACCCCAAGTGAGGACCGGAGTCAGACAAAGCTGTTCACTCTCGCCCTTTATTCTTTCTTCTGGTAGTTGACTGGATTACGAAGACCTCTACACCACAGAGGAAGCACGGAATAAAATGAACAGGTTGGATGCAACTAGACAATTCGGACTTCACGGATGACGAAGGTCTTCTGTCCCATACACATCAACAAATGCAGGTCAAGACAAACAGTGTAGCAAAAGGGAAAAAGCAAGATCCTCAAATACAATACAAAGAACACCAAACCAATCACACTTGATGGAGAAACTGTGGAAGAGGTGGACATTTTCACGTATCTGGGTAACATCATCGATGAACGTGGATGATCTGATGCATATGTCAAGGCGAGGATTGGGAAAGCAAGGGCTGCATTCCTTCAATTGAAGAACATATGGAACTCAAAACAACTGTCAACCAATATCAAAGTCAGAATCTTCAATACGAATGTCAAGACAGACCTATTGTACGGAGATGAAGCGTGGAAAACTACTACAATCATCATCAAGAAGGTACAAGGATTTATAAACAATTTTCTACGCAAGATACTCAATGTCCGTTGGCCGGATAGCATCAACAATAGCCTACTGTGGGATAGGACAAACCAAGTTCCTGCTGAGGAAGAAATTAAGAAAAGACGTTGGGAGTGGATAGGACACACATTGTGGGAACCATTAAACTGCACCAAGAGGCAAGCTCTAACTTGAATCATGAAGGGAAATGAGAACGAGGGAGACCGAAGAACACAGTGCGTCGGGAATTGGAAGCAGACATTAAAAAAATTGCCCAGGACAGATAGAGAATACGGGTGAGCGGCCTATGCTCCTCCATGGGAGGTAACAGGCGTAAGGAAAACAGTTTAAGTATTGTAAAGGGTGTCTACCTCAAATCACAATCATAATAAATAAGAGATATAAGGTTAGTATCTGTTTGCTTGTTGGACAGTTAACTTTAAAGAAAATACCGAGCAACTAAATGGATCAGTATTATTTCATCAGTATAAAACTATTATATAGATATTAGGATAAAGACAAGTTAGTACAGTTAACTTAGAAAATCGATAGGAATTAAGTTAGAGTAATGGCTTAACCACTAAATAGGTTTATTTTAATTATCAGAACACAGGTCTGGATCCTGTTCCATTTATTTCAATTCACATCACCAAGTAATAACATTGGTTCTTTTTTCTAATAGGCATACAGGAAACATACAGCTCAAAGCCAAGTACATAATTTTATACTTGTGATATCACTATGCGAAGTTATTAACTGGTAGATTCAGACAACGTGATTGGAATCCGCGCAATCACAAAATATTTATACTTCTTATTTCACACATTCATTCTTCGCGAATCATTTTATCTATGATGCTTAATCTTTTCTACCATTAATAATACTATTACCATACATTTTTTTTACTAATCCGTCATTTCTCTTAATAATTTCATCTCACTATACCGAAAGGTGTGGCAACTTGATTGCCGATATATGCTAGTTTTTTACGTTGCCTATACCGGAAACTTGTGTTCATGTTAAGATAAATTTACACGAAGAGTGAATGACAGAGAATAAAATAGTACGAACATATGAAAAACCAAACTTCACTTACTGGGTACTGAACGATTTTTGTACAATAAATTATAATCATTTGGCGGATTAGGGAAACTATCTGAAATTTTATCACCATTACTATTACTAATAATTTGACGAATAGTATTACTTTGATATTTCAATTTTCTATTGTAATCTGAATGAATAATGTTACGAATATTGGAGCAATTCGTGTCGATGCTTAATTTCATATCAATGTGAACATTAGGAGGGGTATGAGAAGAAGCGTTATTGATACATGATGGTTTTGGTAACTGAAGGTGTTTTAATTGTGTAACACTTGAATTATTATTATTTTTAGTATCGTTTTTTGACTGAGTAAACGATCTTAGCGTTGAATCCTAAACAGGTAATAACAGGAAAGTATACAGTAGAAATTTCATTAAAATGGGAAAAGGAATTATGTTTTATAGTTAATTATAACAATTTCGATTCACTCACAAGTGATCAAATTTGAGGAAAGTTAGGATTTCTAAAAATAAGACGCTATGACCGATTGGTTAATCTAAAGTAAGGAAAATGCAACAGGTATCATTGATAATATAAAGTGATAAATTGCGTGATGAATCATAGATCAACTAAAGTTGAAAATACGAAGCACCGATAGATTCCAGTTCAGTGAGTTTGTTATAACTGTGGGAAAGCTGGGCTTAGAGCAACAGGAAATTACTGAGATTTGTACGATGTAGATGACAAATGAAAATATTATTCAACCTACGAATTTCAGGACAAAATAAACGTCAGATCATGTTTTAATTTAATGTTTTATTTGTTCAGTATAACATTTAGTTACATAATTCTAGAGTAAAATCCAGCTGTATTTCGATTATTTCAGTTACAAACATTCGCTGCCAGTAAAACCTGTATATAATAGAGTGTATTTGATTCATGTTATTGTCATATAAAATCTTCATTTGATAACAGTTTTTATTTCATTCCTTACATTAAGGAAATCTGTTTCCCTCGGTTTCAATTTCAGTTTTAATAGGGAAATAGGACTCATGCCCTCCATAAGACTTCATTGTTTGAGACTCGACCCCTTGATGGAGTACATACTATAGAGATGTACTAAACAAGGATGAACAAGGTATTCTCAGTGCTTTATAATTGTTCTCTTCCAATTTACTCCTACAACAGTAAATATTGCAATTCGACGTTAGCGGTAATAATAATTTGGAGATAACCAAAAGAAATTAGAAGGAAAGCATACGCCTAGATAGATAGCGTTTTCTGAAATAGGGAGCATACACTTTTAGATTGCATAGAATAGAATATATTCTGAGATGTGAAAACAGTGTTACACCATTCCAAGATATGGGGTATTACGTAAAGATGTAGTAAATCTTTATCGATTGAAGTGGTCGGGGCACTTATTATATTTCCCCATCCACCAACTTAACTGAACCATGTAGGTAAATGCAAACTAACTGGTTTAGATTCGTTGCAATTATCGTAACCAGTGTGATTGCAAATGTTAGATGATGTAGCTTAGAATCATTCACAAGCGCATAGGGGCATTCGTTCTTTGTCTATCCTTGAATATTGGGTTCCGAAATCTTATACTTTTTCATTCTTTATATACTTACTTTTTCCTGCAGGTACATCCAGCTGACGAGTCCCAAATGGGACTAAACGCGAGTCCTGGATTCCACTGCTAGCCACTATCCATATTTGCTTATAAAAACTAGTGAATTAAGGCAATATCGAAGCATACGCACAGTATTCACATATGCCAATAACAGACTGATCAATTGCAGTCTTAAACCTCAATGGGAAGATACAAGCAAAAACAATAACAAGTGAACTATTCATATTACATTGTAATTTGTTTAGATAATTTCATCTCACCGTTATGATGAGATGAGGAAACTTGAATAGAAGCATATATATGCCAAGTTCTACTCTGAATATAACTGAGTGATATCCGATAGATAGAAAAACTATGAAATCTAGGATTTAAACAAATGTTGAAACTACAAAAACTCATTATTGACAGTAGATTAGTGGCGATATCTTTGGTAATTGCTAATAGATACCTAACAAACCTAGATATAAATAACCAAATCAAAATTAATCCAAGTTCAAATAGCACAAACTGAACAACAAGAATATTATCAGAAGGGGTTTGTGGAGGTTTTTAGAAATTTTCACAGATTGAAATCATAAGTCAGTTGAAGCTAGACCACCATCGAAAACCTGGAAGCACTGGACGGCCGTTTCATCCTAGTGTGGGACTCCTCAGCAGTGCGCATCCACGATCCCGCCTACCGAGAAATTCGAACCCAGGATCTATCAGTCTCGCGTGCGACCGTCTAACCATTAGACCACTGAGCCGGCATCCAACGGTGTTAATGTCTAACTTCAACCAATCCACGAAGTTGCGCCACCGTACACCATTGTCTTCAGTGAGTTCCTATCTCACAACAGACCTGGTTGAACTCCACTAATAACGGCTTCTCATTAGAACTCCAGGAAATGCCTTTTGAAGTCAGTCACCAGTGAGCAGATGATTATTATCAGAAGAGGTTAAGCGCCTGGCGCGAAACTGATAGGTCCTGGGTTCGAATTTCGCGGGAGGCGGGATCGTGGATGCGCACTGCCGAGGAGTCCCACACTAGGATGAAACGGCCGTCCAGTGCTTCCAGGTTTTCAATGGTGGTCTAGCTTCAATTGACTCCTGATTTGAACCAGTGAAATTTCTAAAATCTGCATAAAACCCCTTCTGATAATTTTGATTTAGCTATTTATTTATTCTCTGAAGAAGTGGCTTACACTGTGTCACGAAACGTCAGGAAATCTAATTTTTCAACTCATTAGGAAATTACATATATATTATTCACTTAATCCAACTAAATGTTTGGAGAAAGACTATATTGTGTATGAAGTTATAAAAACCCTACAAGAAATAATAAAGTGGGGCCGGGTGTTAGCTAAACTACTCATGTGTTGAGGCTATTAATAATTATGACGAACCAATAAAAATCATATGAAGATATGTGAGTAAAAATAACACAGATAATAATATTCGACAAACTGAATGATTTATGTGGCGCATATCTACTTGGTGCCTTCTTGTACCTATGTTTATATGTTTAAATAAATAAAAATTGCACGTATAGTTCTGGTTTATTAATCTGAGTGGTTGTTGTCTCATCCCGTCTGAAGGTCTTTAAGTCATACTGACTTTAGCAGAAAATTACTAACCCGATAAATTATTGAAAGCTATTGAATTGTACTGGCGCTGTGACAAATTTGCACTAGATGGGTTAGTATTGAGTTGCTTACTGCCTTGACTTCATCTTTGCTTAGCTACATTGAAAGGTCCCGACCGTTGTTGGTGTTTCCTTCAGACAACCAGCATGACAGCGATGCTGTCTTCCCACAAGGAGGAGTGGGGTTAGAAAAGGTCGATCCTAAAAATGCACACCTCGCCTTATCTCACGGATATCCGTCTCCGGTGGTAAGGTCTCAACAAGTACGGATCTAACACAAAAATCACCCATGAAAAGGTCGTGTGTGACCGACCTCAAGCAGTTGTCCCTTGGGCACTGCGGTCACGCTCCCAGGTCACTAAGACCACCTCTAATCCAATTTCTTTTTCAGGTACCTCCAGAACAACCCTTCCACGGTGTGGACAACCGGGAAGTGATAACCGCCCTCATACCTCTAACAGCATTCAAGACCACTGTATTCATAATCACTTCCTATTATTCCTCCTACATCGACTTTCACCTCTAAACTTCCTCTTTCGGCTTCCCCCTCAAGTGTCACCATAGCCAACGATTCTAGTGCTCAAAACACTGTCCTAGGTCTACTGAAACCTCGCTCCAAATTACACATTGAAGCCTTCAACGTACGCACCCTATGTCAAATCGATCAACAGGCTTCCTTGGCTAGTACCCTAGAATCTCGTACCATTGATGTATGCTGTGTCTCTGATACACGCATACAGGATCCCAGTATGGTCATTCACTTGACCTCACCTCGCCAAAACGGAGAGCCAGCGAGATACACCCTCCGCGTGTCTGGTGACCCGAAGGCCAGCTCTCGTGGACTGGTAGGAGTAGGGATAGCACTAAGCATGAGGGCGGAACAAGCACTGTTAGAGTTGATCCCCGTTAACAGTCGTCTATGTGCTGTTTGGATAAACGGCTCCGTAAGAACTCGGAAGGATAGGGACACACGTCGTTGCCTTTTTGTCGTTTCTGCCTACGCTCCCATTGATTGCGACTCAGATGAAGTGAAATATGAATTTTACAGAAAGCTATCTGAACTTCTTCAGAAAGCGAAACGTTCAGACATAGTACTCGTAGCTTACTTACTTACTTACACCTATTACTCCTAATGGAGCATAGGCCGCCGACCAGCATTCTCCAACCCACTCTGTCCTCCGCCTTCTTTTCTAATTCCATCCAATTCTTGTTCATTTTTCTCATGTCTCTTTCCATTTCCAGGCGTAATGTGTTCTTTGGTCTTCCTCTTTCCCTTTGGCCTTGAGGATTCCATGTGAGAGCTTGTCTTGTGACGTAGTTGGGTGCTTTCTTCAATGTGTGTCCTATCCACTTCCAGCACTTCTTTCTGATTTCTTCCTTCGCTGGGATCTGGTTTGTTCTCTCCCACAGTACGTTGTTGCCAATAGTGTCCGGCCAACGGATCCGAAGTATTTTGCGTAGACAACTGTTAATAAACACCTGTATTTTATGAATGATGGCTTTCGTAGTTCTCCAGGTTTCCGCCCCATACAGTAGGACTGTCTTGACATTTGTATTGAAAATCTTGACCTTGGTGTTGGTTGACAGTTGCTTTGAGTTCCAGATGTTCCTCAGTTGTAAATATGCTGCTCTTGCTTTGCTGATCCGCGCTTTCACATCTGCATCAGATCCACCCTGTTCACCAATGATGCTGCCCAAATATGTAAAGGTTTTTACATTTTCCAAATCTTCTCCGTCAATTGTGACTGGATTGGTGCACGCTGTGTTGTATCGGAGAATCTTGCTTTCCCCTTTGTGTATATTGAGACCCACTGCTGCTGAGGCTGCTGCTACACTGGTAGTTTTCTCCTACATTTGTTGTTGCGTTTGGGATAGAAGAGCCAGGTCATCTGCGAAGTCTAGATCGTCCAAATGAATCCTAGATGTCCATTGTATCCTGTGTTTCCCTTCAGATGTTGATGTCTTCATGATCCAGTCGATCACTAGGAGAAAGAGAAAGGGTGAGAGGAAGTAACCTTGCCTGACACCGGTCTTCACTTCGAACGACTTTGTCAACTGTCCTCCATGCACGAATTTGCAATGTAATCCATCATATGAATTCTGTATGATATTGACTATCTTCTGAGGCACGCCGTAGTGTCGAAGAAGCTTCCATAATGTTGTTCTGTCTACGTAGTCAAATGCTTTTTCATAGTCAATGAAGTTGATGTAGAGTGATGAATTTCATTCAATTGATTGTTCCACAATGATCCGTAGAGTTGCGATTTGGTCTGTACACGATCTATCCTTACGGGATCCTGCCTGTTGGTCACGAAGTTGGGCGTCTACGCAGTCATTCATCCTGTTTAACAATACTCTGTTGAAGACTTTTCCTGGTATTGAGAGAAGAGTGATGCCCCTACAGTTATCACAATTTCTGAGATCACCTTTCTTTGGTATCTTGATCAGGTGTCTTTTCCAGTCTGTCGGTTCTTGTTCTTCATCCCAAATCTTGCTGACGAGAATGTGGAGTATCTCTGCAGTTACTGCTACATCTCCTTTCATTGCCTCTGCTGGAATGTTGTCTGTCCCTGCAGCTTTGCCACTCTTGATTTGTCTGATGGCCATGCTGATCTCTTCAATTATTGGTGGGCCAGCAGGTCCGTGGGTGCTACTTCGATGTTGGGTGGGTTCAGTTGGGTTGGTCGATTCAAGAGTTCTTTGAAGTGTTCTACCCACCTGTTTTGTTGCTCTTCAATGTTGGTTATTACTTCGCCTTTCTTGCTTTTCACTGGTCGTTCTGGTTTGCGGCGATTTCCAGAGAGTTTCGTTGTTATATCATACAGTTGTCTCATGTTTCCTTCTCTTGCAGCCTTTTCCGCCGTCTTTGCTAGATCTTCTACATATTTACGTTTGTCTGTTCTGATGCTCTTCTTCACTTGTTTGTTTACTACTGTGCATTCAGCTTGTGCCTTGGATTTTTCTGCTCTTGTTCGACTAGTATTGATTGCTGCCTTCTTGTTCCTTCTTTCTTGAAACTTATCCAGTGTATCAACAGTGATCCATTCCTTGTGATGGTGCTTCTTGTGACCCAGGACCTCATGACATGTTGAAGTGATTGCCTCTTTGATCCCCTTCCAGTTGCTCTCCACAGTAGTTCCTTCTCCATTGAGTAGATCATAAAAGGCCTGGAACTTGTTGCTGAGGACTATCTTGAATTTGTTGAGTTTGTTAGTATCCTGAAGAAAGGCCGTATTGAACTTTTGTGACATTGTCCGTCCCATTGTCCAGTGCTTCTTGAGTTTCAACTTCATCTTGGCGACCAGCAAGTGATGATCTGATGCTATATCAGCTCTCTCTTGATTCTCACGTCCTTTATAGTCCTCCTGAACGTTTTGTTGATGCAAATATGGTCGATTTGGTTTTGCGTGGTGTGATCCGGTGAAGTCCATGTGGTTTTGTGAATGCGTTTATGTGGGAATATGGTGCCGCCTATGACCAGTTTATTGAAGACACATAGGTTTGCAAATCTCTCACCATTTTCGTTTCTTTCTCCCAGTCCATGTCGTCCCATGATGTCTTCATATCCAGTGTTGTCCGTTCCAACCTTCGCGTTGAAATCTCCCATCAGAATTGTCTGGTCCTTTGTCTGGCACTTTTCGACGATTGACTGCAGCCTATTGTAGAATTGAGCTTTAGCGTCTTCATTGTAATCGTTGGTAGGCGCATAGCATTGGATGATATTCATTGTAATGCCCACCGTTTTTGTTTTGAACGAGGCTTTGATGATCCTTGGTCCATGAGATACCCATCCTATAAGCGCATTTTGCGCTTGTTTGGACAGCATCAATGCAACTCCTTGTGTATGTGGGGCATTTTCTTCTTCATGGCCGGAGTATAACAGAAGCTCTCCTGAAGTTATTCGTTGTTGTCCAACTTGCGTCCAATGTGTTTCACTGATCCCAAGTACCTCAAGGTTGTATCTTCTCATTTCTGCAGCAATTTGGAAGACTCTCCCGGTGTCCCACATTGTACGAACATTCCATGTACCTAAATAAATGGTCGCTCTGGTTGTCAGAAGGGGCATCGACCTCGTAACTTCCGAAGGAATTCGGCTTTCATCATGAGGCGTCATAATTCTTCTAAATGAAGACCTTCTGACTCCCAGGGCAGAGGTTAAAAGGTTTGAATAATTTTTTCTGGTTAGCGTTTTTTTAGTGAGTTAGTTTTCTACGGGATGGGGACGCTAACCCCATGCTCAACCCTCCTTTTTTATCCGGGCTTGGGACCGGCAGTAGCCCCCGGAGGGACTCCAGGCGGAGTTTATTTAGTTACTCAGTTGTCAATATTTTTGATTAGTTTCCATCATAGAATTAATTGGTGTGACTTTTGCTATGTTGTAGTTTTCTTCCATCATGGCACTTCTGTAGCATGAGGAAGTGGCATTTTCATCGTAGAAAACTTCATATTTTTCATGTAAACTAGCAAAAATGACAGAGAACGAAACACGCCTTCTATCATGGGATACGATAATATAAATAATAATTACTCACTTCATTTTGTTTGGTTGCCAGTTATAAGATCAAAACTGAAAATGAGTGTGGGGTTTGTCCTCAGTTTAGTTCTGTTCTTACTTTTTTTCTCTCTCTCTCTCTTTATAGTCTGAATATGGTGAAGATCTTGGTATATATGTACGTGGAATTAATCCAGGAAGTGGAGCTAGTCAAGCAAAACCAATTCATGATAATATTAATAATGAAACAAATCCATTACAATTTGATAAATGTTTGTTTACTTCACAATATTTGCAAATTGGTGATAGATTAATATCAGTGTTAATTCTATCGAAGCGTCGAAGTAACCCCGATTGAGATACGCGCAAAATCGAAGTCCCAAAACAACGATTTGTCTACAAAAGCGGTTCTTTATTAAATAATACACAAAATTTAGTTACAAACCTCAACTTGTGAGGTGTCTAGGCGTTTAAACGCGTCATTCAAGAATGAAAATAGCAAAGGCTTAGATAGTCCAAAGACAGCCGATAGCTGTGTCTAAATTTGATAACAGTTTATGAACAACCTAAACTCGAACCAAGAGCAAACAATATGGAAACTGTTGCGTTTAAACAAATGCATAAAAATGTGGATAACCGTTACAGTAATTAAATTACAGTGATTATAATGATAAATACAATGATAAGTAAAATAAACGTTAAAGATATATATGAACATTTCAGAATGTTACAGTACAACCTGAGTTACAACATAATTTTGAAATTTCATGCAATTGGTTCCCTTTATGATCTATTTAATAAAGCACACGAGGACATAGAATTTACTATGGAACAAGAAGCTGAAGACAAATTCCATTTCCTCGATGTTGGGATCCGACGAACATCTGATGGTAAATTACATAGACATATTCACCATAAAAATACCTGGAGTGGTCTTTATCTCAATTACCACAGTTTCTGCCCCATGAGTTACAAAAAAGGTATTGTACGAACCCTTTTTTGACCGCGCTCAAAAAATCTGTTCAAAAGAATACCTTAATGATGAAATTAATCTGATTACTAATGTTCTACGCGATAATGAATATCCATTGAAATTTATCCAGAAATATGCCAAAATCAATCCTCATACAAAATACGATGGAGTAGAAAGAAAAACCTGTTTTTTACACTTACGTTTCAAAGGTGATGAAATCGCTGGAATAATCAATCAAAGAATAAACTCTGCGTTGAAAGTCACCTACCCAGCAGCAAAACTTATGACAGTATGGCAAACGAACTGCTCACTTCAACAAACCAAAATCGACAAGCCCTCTTTTCTTAGTAGCTCCAACTGCATCTACCAATTTACATGTACGTGCCAAAGCACATACATTGGAAGAACTGAGAGAAGAGTGCATGTCCGCATTTCTGAGCACGTTCCAAAAAACTTGAGGCTGCGTGGGACCAGGGCTTTCAACAGTGCAATAGCTCGACACCTAATTGACACCGGACACACCATCGACATTCCTCATGCATTCAAAGTTATCAATAGACAAAGAAATACGACCAGCCTCCGTTTTGCTGAAGCTATTATGATCAAAAAACTTAAACCTGACTTATGCATTCAAAAAGAGACGTTAATTAGCTTATCACTACCCTGGTAACCCTTTATTATTATTATTATTTTATTTTTATTTATTTTAAAATATTTATATTCCTCCCCTATTACATAATTCTTAAACCACATTATTATTTACGCATTTCCACCACCTGATCCTCCTAAATTATCTTAACTTTTCATATTCTATTTAATTATTATTACGTAACCTATCTTATGATTATTCAATTGCATTATTACACCACCCAACCTGGATTAACCCCCTTCTTTTGACCTCTGACCTATTTCTAGCATATATATATATATATAGTTATTATTGTAACCCAGTTATTTACACCCATTTATGTCAATTGTTTTCACTCTATCTCCATGTAAAAATTCTATCACATTTTTTGGTTTGTAAGCATCTGACGAGAAACCTCGAAATAATATGAATTCATACTATTCTGCATCAATATTTGTTCTTGCTTTATAATTGTGAAAATTGTTGGGCATAAACTGCTTACTGAATATAAATAAGTAGTATAAACCAACATACAAAAGAGTGGAAAAGGAATGAGCAGGAACAATGTAAAACAAACTTAACTATCAGTAAATGGTCAATTAATCACTGGATTAACACAAGATGATGCATTAAAACTAGTGTCATCTACCACAGATGAAGTGATATTAACTGTAATACGTTATACTAAACAAGACACAGAGTACAGTACATCATTAATTATAACAGCGACAAAATCACAGTTAACTTCAATGGCTGATTCCGAGAGTAAAGTGTCTGATTTACAATGTATTGATTGTTTCTTACATGAATCTTTGTTATCAAATTATAAAGAGTTTGTAAAATGTGATGATAGTCTTGGTGATATTGATAATGAACAATTATTAAACGTATCCATCAATCAGGTGATTTTATTTTTACTTTATTTAACGGTAGTCTTTTATTATTATGCTTTGGTGGAGAAGATTTGTAGCTCAGGTGGATGATTTTGGTGGAGTTTTATTCTCTGAGCTGGATGGTTTGGTCGTGGAGTTTTCATCGTTCTTCTGAACGTCATCATCAGCACAAACTTCAGATAGAAGTGAAGTGTTCGAATTTCTCCATATGTGTTTCACAGCTTGTTCTGTGCACCTCGATGTTGATTGGTTCTTATTGACCTCAAATTTATCATTGTTTACTTCTTTGTTTTGATTGTGTCTCCCATTGGTTTGATTTTTGTTCCTATATTTATGCATGATTTTCCTGATTGGTTGATAAATTGGTTTGATTTCAATATGTTTGTTGATTGCTGATTGACCTGAATGCCAGGATTCTAAAAATTATCTGGTGTCTTTGGAGTTTCCTCTGTCTAAGATTTCCACATTTTTCCAATCGAATGAGTGTCCGTAGTTATCCACGTGTATTGATATAAGTGAAGAGATATCATGGCGTTTGACTGCTAATTGATCTTCATGTAGGCGAAGGTGGAGGGGGCGTCCGCTTTGTCCGATGTAGTGTTTGTCGCAGTTGGTACAATTTATTTTGTAGATGATGTTTGATTTGTTTTCCTTTGTTATTTCATCCTATGGTTTGCATAGGATTGATTGTACTGATTTTGTCGTTTTGTGCGCCACACCTATCCCGAAGGTTTTCAGCAATCTCGTTGCGGTTCCTGATATTCCTTGTATGTACGGTAGAGTGATCCGTTTGTTGATTTTTGTGCTTGACTTAGGTTCTGATACTGCGTGCGGTTGGTGTTTTTTGATTAAGTTGATTGGGTAGCCGTTCTTTTTAAATATGTCCTTCAGGTATTTCTCCTCGTTTTTTCATGCTGCCAGTGTGCTGCTTGAGGTTGCAAAAGCAGATGACAGTTCGCCATAAGCTCTGACTCGACTGGTAGTGTTCGAGTAAAGAGCCTTCACAAGGTTTATGTACTTCTGAGGTACGCCTTTCGATGACAGACACTGCCACAGAATCTCGCGGTCTACCGAGTCAAATGCTGCTTTTAAGTCAAGAAAGACCACCACTGTCGGACGCCGATAAGTATGTCTATGTTCTAGAACCTGACGAATGGTGAATATGTGGTCGATTCAGCCACGACCAGGTCTGAAGCTAGCTTGATTCTCTCGTGTTTGCAGTTCACGAGTCTTAGTTAGGCGTCTGATAATTATCGAGGCTAGTATTTTAGATACTATATTAGTTAAACTAATCCCTCTATGGTTGTCACAAGATGATTTTAACCCTCTCTTATATATTGGGACAACAAGTGATTGTGACCAGTCAGATGGAGTAACGTCTAACTCCCAGATCTTAGCTAAAATATTGGTCAACCTAATCGCTAAAATTGGACCACCATCCTTAAAGACCTCTGGAGCCAATCCATCTGGACCAGCTGTCCTTCCTCGTTTCAGATTAACTATAGCCTTTTGAACTTCTGCTAGAGTTGGGGGACCTACTCCAATGTTCCATTCACACTGTCTGGGAATGGAGGGTAGTTGTAGAGTAGCTGAAGGCCAGCTGAAATGTTCCGCCCATCGTTCTAAACGTCTGGACTGAGAGCAGATGAGGGTGTCGTCTTTTTCCGAAATAGTCGGACTTACACTTGATTTATTAATTCCAGTTTCTTTTATTAGTCTGTAGAGCTGTCTTGTGTTCCCTATGGCTGCCGCCTTTTCCATCTCTTTTGCTTTCGTTGCCCACCACTGCTCACGATCGTTCCTTAGACTTTTGGTTAACCTGGATCTGATTTGTTGTCGCTCTTCATCGTGTTCAGAGCCTTATGGGATGAGTTTACGTGAATTCATCAGTGCAATAGACCTTGAGGAAATCCATTGGTTCTTTGTAACCCTGTGGTTTAAATCACTGATAGATGTCACTGCTGTTTCCACAGCTGTTTGTATAGCTTTCCAAGCAACATCTGGGTCAACCTCGTTTTTAGAACTACCTAATTGTGACCTCAGTTGTTCCTGGAACCTACTTTTGGTTTCCTTGTTACTCAATTCAGTTCTAATGAGTCATTTTAGTGTGACTTTTTTGCATCCAGTGAGGCTCAAGCAGATGCGTGCCCGTATTAGGGCGTGGTCGGAGTCCAAGCAGGTACTCCAGAATGAGCGACAATCTTCTACCGACCCTCGTCAACGATAACTGATGACAATATGGTCTATTCGAGTCCATCGTTAGTTTGGTGTAGGGGGTCGTCATGTTAGACGATGTCTCTCCTTATGCTTAAAATTTGTGTTTGCTAAAAATAAACGATTGTCTGAGCACAGTTGCAACAGACAATCACCATTATCTGTTCGCTGTGCCGAAATACTAAAATACCCACCTAAATACCGTTCTGTTTGGTTTAAACTACCTACCTGGGCATTAAAGTCACCTGCTGCGACGGTGGCGGAAAAGGTTGCAAGAGAAGGAAACATGAGACAATTGTATGATACAACAAAGAAACTCTCTGGAAATTATCGTAAACCAGAACGACCAGTAAAAAGCAAGAAAGGCGAAGTAATAACCAACATTGAAGAGCAACGAAACAGGTGGGTAGAACACTTCAAAGAACTCTTGAATCGACCAACCCAACTGAACCCACCCAACATCGAAGTAGCACCCACGGACCTGCTGGCCCACCAATAATTGAAGAGATCAGCATGGCCATCAGACAAATCAAGAGTGGCAAAGCAGCAGGGACAGACAACATTCCAGCAGAGGCAATGAAAGGAGATGTAGCAGTAACTGCAGAGATACTCCACATTCTCGTCAGCAAGATTTGGGATGAAGAACAAGAACCGACAGACTGGAAAAGACACCTGATCAAGATACCAAAGAAAGGTGATCTCAGAAATTGTGATAACTGTAGGGGCATCACTCTTCTCTCAATACCAGGAAAAGTCTTCAACAGAGTATTGTTAAACAGAATGCAGGACGCCCAACTGCGTCACAAGACAAGCCTTCACATAGAATACTCAAGGCCAAAGGAGAAGGGGAAGACATGATGAAGGACTGCGTAGACGCCCAACTTCGTGACCAACAGGCAGGATCCCGTAAGGATAGATCGTGTACTGAACATCGCACGTCGAGGCAGTCGGTCGTTGGGCATACGTAACACGTGTCCCAGCCATCTCAACTGATGAAGTTTCACTACTTCATCAATTGATTTGTCATCCTTACCTAGTACCCGGTTCCTAACAACTGTGTTACTTACTCGATGGTCCCATGATATACGAGCAATGTTTCGAAGACACCTATGATCGAATACTAGTAACCTACGAATATCCTCTACTCTTACCGGCCATGTTTCACTGCCACAAAGTAGGACGGGACGAACTGTTGCGCAGTAAACATGTCCTTTGGTTGATAGACGGATATCTCGCCTACGCCATAAATGACGCAAGTTGGCAAAAGCTAGTCGAGCCTTCTGTATCCGTGCTGAGATTTCGTCACACACCAGACCACAAGGGCTGATGAGACTACCAAGATCAGTGAAGCGGTCGACACACTCAACTACTTCACTCCCTGCGAGAACAAATGGCGTATGAACCAATTCTTTGATCACCGGCTACCATGGGACTACATCTCCTCAAGATGCTCCACTGCATTGCGGGTTAGACCTATAGGTCAAAGGCTCGGGGTGTGGCTCTCTAAGAATACCACCTGCTTCGATTTGGGCACCCAGGCAGTATCTCAGCCTGCACACAAAAAAAACATGATAAACTTTTGTGTGGCGCATATATATTTGGCGCACTCTTGTACCCATATGTATGTGTTAAAATAAATTACACTGTTGAACCAGGCACATAAATGCGTCGGTCTAAGTTGCCATACCTCATCAGAGCAACAAGATGAACACCAAATTCATAGAAGCAGATACTTCAATGGTAGTAATATGTATTTTAACAAATGATTGTATATAGGGATATGACACAGAGAGAAAGAATTAGTTTGTAGAAAGAAAGATATGAAGTAATTTTAATCGCACGATTTAATGGAAGACAAAGAGTGTATACACCGACGCAATTATGATCGATTCTAAGCCATGTCACCCAGAGTTTCCAATCACTGGTTACGATAGTCACACGAACCTCAACCGAGTAGTCTGCATCTACCAACATGGCTCAGACTACAAGTTAGTGACTTCAAGGACTGATGCCACGTTTTGTTTTGGCCGCCCCTAACTTTCTTCCAACCATCCCGAACACCGGTTAGCATTGCGCGTCGTGGTAATCAGTGTTCAGGCATATGCAACACGTGGCCCAACCATCTGAGTCGATGAAGATTCACAACCTCATAACATGACTTACCATCATTACCTAATATCCTGCGTCTAACCTCACTATTACTTACCCGGTGATCCCAGCGGATGCGAGCAATATTTCTAAGACATCTGTGATCAAATACTTGTAACTTACGAGTATCCTGCTGTATAGCATACTCGTCTCTTTATTGATCGACAGATATCTCGCCTTCGCGATAAGTGACGTAAATTGGCAAAAACCAAAAGAGCTTTCTGAGTCCGTGTAGATATTTCGTCAGACACCAATCAATTAGAGCTGTTCAGGCTTTTAAGATAAGTGAAGTTGTTGACGCATCCGACTACTTCACTCCCTATCCTTAGTTCAGGTGTTGATGCAGGCCAGTCCTGAAGCAACAACTTGCATTTAGAGGGGGAGAAACGCATATCAAACATCCTGGCATTGTTGCTCAGAGCTACCAAATGACTTTGCATCTTGTCAGAATCTTTACTAAACAAGACTATATCATCTGCGGTCCACGGGTCTTTGTTGGGCGACCGATAATTATTGAGGCTGGTATTTTATATGCTATGTTAGTCAAACTAATCATTCTATGGTTATCACAGGATGATTTCACCCCTTCTTATACATTGGGACAATCAGTGATTGCGACCAGTCAGATGGGATTACGTCCAACTCCCAGATTTTAGCTCAAATATTAGTCTACCTAATCGCTCATCGTTCTAAACGTCTGAGCTGAGAGCAGATATGAGTGTCGTCTTTTCCCGAGATAATATCACTCATAATTGACTTCTTAATTCTTTCACTAGTCTGAAAAGCTGTCTGATGTTACCTACAGTCGTTGCCTTTTCCATATTTTTGCTTTCGTTGCCCACCACTGCTCAAAGGTCGTTCCTTGGACTTTCGGTTAGCCTAGATCTGATTTGTTTTCACTATTCATCGTGATCGGAGACTGATGGGATAAGCTTAAGAGAGTCTACCAGTGCAACAGATGCCGCAGTTCACTGGTTTTTGGTAATCCTTTAGTTCAAATCACTAATACATGTCGCTGCTGTTTCCACAACTGTTCATATATATCTTTCTGTTAGAGGGATATAGATTGGATTAAAACATGTCCCATGTATCCAGTAAGACTCAAGCAAATATGTGCTCGTATTAGAGCATGATCAGAGTCTGAACATGTATTCCGGAACGAGCGACAATCTTCCAGTGAGCCTCCCCCAACGATGACTGATGACAATATGGTCTATTTAAGTCCATCATTAGTTTGGTACAGGAGGACGCCATGTTACACGATGTCTCTCCTTATGCCTAAAATTAGTGCTTATTAGAAAAAAAACGATTGCCTGAAGACAATTGCAGAGGACGATCACCATTATCTGTTCGCTGAGTCGGAATACTGAAATACCCGCGTAAATATCTTTTTGTTTGTTTCAAGCTACCTATGTGAGCATTAAAGTTACCTGCTATGAACACTATGTTTGAGTGTTTAGATTTTTAAAAAGGTTCATATAGCTTTCTGTAAAAGTCATCTTTCATTTCTTCCGTGCTGCATACAATAAGAGCGTAAGTGGGAGCGACGAAAAGGCAACAACGTATGTCACTATCCTTTCGAATTCTTACGGAGCCGTTTAACCAAACAGCACATAGGCAACTGTTAACAGGGATCTATTCTAACAGTTATTCTGCCCTCATAATTAGTTCTATGCCTACACACTCCAATCAACTAGAACTAGCCATCGGATCGCCAGATAAAACGGAGGGTGTATTTCGTCGGCTCCCTGTTTTGGATAAATGAGGTCAAGTGAATGATCACACTACGATCCTGTATGTGTGATTCATAGACACAGCATACATCAATGGTACGAGATTCTAGGGTCTTAGTCAATAAGGCCTGCTGGCCGACTGGACACAGGGTACGTATGTTGAAGGCTCCAATGTGTAGCTTGGTACGAGGTCTCAGTAAACTTGGGAAAGTATTCTGAACATTAGGATCGTTGGCCATGGTAACACTTGAGGAAGAAGTATAGAGTTGATAATTGAGGTAGGATTAATAACAGGAAACAAAGGGGGAAAATGACCATGAACACAGTGGTCTTGAGTGCTGTTAGAGGTATGAGGGTGGTTATCACTTCTCGGTTGTCCATACCAAGGAAGGGTTTTTCAGAGATACCTATAAAAGAAATCGGGTTAGTCTTGGTGACCTGAGAGCGTGACCGCAATGTGCAAGGGTCAGTGACTTTAGGCCGGTCATACGCGACATTTTTGTAGGTAATTTTTGTTTTAGCTCCGTACTTGGTGCAACCGTACCATATTTTTTTTACCACCGACAATTAGTTTTGTGAACTTTGATTGTGAAAATAATAACAACACAACTAACGCACGACTTATCCAAACCATCAATTAGAACACTAGGGTAGCCAGAGTGGCGCCTTGTGTATTTTGTGTTATTCAAATCTATATAAAATGCACAGATCATAAATAATCGATCACAACAGATACAGACAACTTGTAAATATATAACAGAATGCTGAGTAACTGGTTTGTAGTTGATTAACCGCAATTTATAAAAAGCAAGATATGACGCAACACCAGTTAGTGGATCAAATAAAATCTTACAAGTGGATAATACGCAAATGCTGTGAATAGATACACATAGTTGAAAAATATGCAAACTTATTTCTCCCACTCCCATGTGAATAATTTATTGAGTTCCATTATTTTCTTCCCAACTTTTTTGTTAACAAAAACCACCCCATCAAATCCTACAAATCTTCGACACAGATCGATTTCATTTAAGATACCATGAGGTTGTATCGTTTGAGGATGATTCAGAAATTCTAAAAAGTAGGCGCTCTCTACGTGTTTTCACGATTCTAGGTCCGATCCCTGATGGAACTGTGGATATGTACTACTAAAATAGTCCCATACTAAGATAAAACAAATGTTCAGTGTTCCTTGGTTCTCAGTAGTACCCTGAATGAGATCAATCTGTGATGAATATAAGCTATAAACCAGCCGTCAGTCAAATTAACAGTTTAAACAATACGTGCAGAAACACACACACATATTTATGTAAAAGAAAGATAAGAGCTTTAACTCACCTGACTTATTCTTTGTAAGTAACATTCCGTAGCTAAACTTAACCCATGTGCACTAGCCCAATCACTTAAACATAAATGAATCCAATCATGTAAGCATTTACCCCATATAGGTGAAATGTGAGTGGAATTATTAATTAATTTATTTTTTTCACAATCATAGCCAATAATAAAATTGAATAGTCGTGCATTTAAACGATGTAATAAATGTGCAAATAATTGAACAATGAAAGCTGGGTTCACATAAGCTGAATGAAGACAATTTATTATTTCACTAAGTATTTTCAGTGTTGTATTATGCTAAAATAAAAAAGCGAGAAATACAATGAGATATTTGTTTGTAACAAGAAAAACAATGTTTGAGTATCAACATCGAATATAGAGCATCAATAAGAAGAAGCGGATTACACAAGATGATGTGATAATATACTAAGAATACATAAGAATGAAAATGAATTTCCCAGCAGAATCGAAGAACAAGGATATAATATGCGGTAGATAACGCAATTCGGGTAGGTACAGATTTAAAACAAACTGCTTTTAGTTGCATAGTGTGAGTTGAACAATATATGGGAAAGTTTTATATCAATGTCGATATAGATGGATTATGAGGGGAAGTCATTAGCAATGAGACACTATTTAACCAATAAGCAGGCAGCAAATATGAATAATTAATTATGATGAATTTCGATAATGATATTAGAAGACGAAGATTATCAGAACTATGTGATATATTACCGCAATACATTTCGAACAATCTGGTCACGCATATACTTGTTAAGAGCATTTATATATAAAAAATAAAAGACAGGAAACGGGGTAAGAGGAGATAAAGATAATGATAAGAGTAATAATAATAATAATAATGTGAACACAATTTGAAACTTAATCACTCTGGATAATAAGTCAATATTACCAGGTTAGGTTAAAGGTAAGAACAAACTGTTTTTGAACACACAAAGGGGGACTGAATTTTCGTATGGCTAACGAATTTCGATTACAAAGATGAACAGTTTACGACCAATTACAACTGACTCATGATTTCAGTCTGTGAAATTACAAAATTATTAAAGGTGACAAAATGTTTGTTCATTATCACTTGAGCACACACCTGCAAAACAAGTACACCAATCACCGATCGCTAAATTTTTCTATGACACCATACATTTTTTTAGAAATGGGTGGTAGGGAATCTCATTTGCCGTGGGCATAATGTCAACCACTAAGGTTTATTGAAGCCTTAGCAATACGAAAATTCAGACCCCCTTTGTGTGTTCAAAAACAGTTTGTTCTTACCTTTAACCTAACCTGGTAATATTGACTTATTATCCAGAGTGATTAAGTTTCAAATTGTGTTCACATTATTATTATTATTATTATTATTATTATTATTATTATTATTATTATTATTATTACTCTTATCATTATCTTTATCTCCTCTTACCCCGTTTCCTGTCTTTTATTTTTTATATATAAATGCTCTTAACAAGTATATGCGTGACCAGATTGTTCGAAATGTATTGCGGTAATATATCACATAGTTCTGATAATCTTCGTCTTCTAATATCATTATCGAAATTCATCATAATTAATTATTCATATTTGCTGCCTGCTTATTGGTTAAATAGTGTCTCATTGCTAATGACTTCCCCTCATAATCCATCTATATCGACATTGATATAAAACTTTCCCATATATTGTTCAACTCACACTATGCAACTAAAAGCAGTTTGTTTTAAATCTGTACCTACCCGAATTGCGTTATCTACCGCATATTATATCCTTGTTCTTCGATTCTGCTGGGAAATTCATTTTCATTCTTATGTATTCTTAGTATATTATCACATCATCTTGTGTAATCCGCTTCTTCTTATTGATGCTCTATATTCGATGTTGATACTCAAACATTGTTTTTCTTGTTACAAACAAATATCTCATTGTATTTCTCGCTTTTTTATTTTAGCATAATACAACACTGAAAATACTTAGTGAAATAATAAATTGTCTTCATTCAGCTTATGTGAACCCAGCTTTCATTGTTCAATTATTTGCACATTTATTACATCGTTTAAATGCACGACTATTCAATTTTATTATTGGCTATGATTGTGAAAAAAATAAATTAATTAATAATTCCACTCACATTTCACCTATATGGGGTAAATGCTTACATGATTGGATTCATTTATGTTTAAGTGATTGGGCTAGTGCACATGGGTTAAGTTTAGCTACGGAATGTTACTTACAAAGAATAAGTCAGGTGAGTTAAAGCTCTTATCTTTCTTTTACATAAATATGTGTGTGTGTTTCTGCACGTATTGTTTAAACTGTTAATTTGACTGACGGCTGGTTTATAGCTTATATTCATCACAGATTGATCTCATTCAGGGTACTACTGAGAACCAAGGAACACTGAACATTTGTTTTATCTTAGTATGGGACTATTTTAGTAGTACATATCCACAGTTCCATCAGGGATCGGACCTAGAATCGTGAAAACACGTAGAGAGCGCCTACTTTTTAGAATTTCTGAATCATCCTCAAACGATACAACCTCATGGTATCTTAAATGAAATCGATCTGTGTCGAAGATTTGTAGGATTTGATGGGGTGGTTTTTGTTAACAAAAAAGTTGGGAAGAAAATAATGGAACTCAATAAATTATTCACATGGGAGTGGGAGAAATAAGTTTGCATATTTTTCAACTATGTGTATCTATTCACAGCATTTGCGTATTATCCACTTGTAAGATTTTATTTGATCCACTAACTGGTGTTGCGTCATATCTTGCTTTTTATAAATTGCGGTTAATCAACTACAAACCAGTTACTCAGCATTCTGTTATATATTTACAAGTTGTCTGTATCTGTTGTGATCGATTATTTATGATCTGTGCATTTTATATAGATTTGAATAACACAAAATACACAAGGCGCCACTCTGGCTACCCTAGTGTTCTAATTGATGGTTTGGATAAGTCGTGCGTTAGTTGTGTTGTTATTATTTTCACAATCAAAGTTCACAAAACTAATTGTCGGTGGTAAAAAAAATATGGTACGGTTGCACCAAGTACGGAGCTAAAACAAAAATTACCTACAAAAATGTCGCGTATGACCGGCCTAAAGTCACTGACCCTTGCACATTGCGGTCACGCTCTCAGGTCACCAAGACTAACCCGATTTCTTTTATAGGTATCTCTGAAAAACCCTTCCTTGGTATGGACAACCGAGAAGTGATAACCACCCTCATACCTCTAACAGCACTCAAGACCACTGTGTTCATGGTCATTTTCCCCCTTTGTTTCCTGTTATTAATCCTACCTCAATTATCAACTCTATACTTCTTCCTCAAGTGTTACCATGGCCAACGATCCTAATGTTCAGAATACTTTCCCAAGTTTACTGAGACCTCGTACCAAGCTACACATTGGAGCCTTCAACATACGTACCCTGTGTCCAGTCGGCCAGCAGGCCTTATTGACTAAGACCCTAGAATCTCGTACCATTGATGTATGCTGTGTCTATGAATCACACATACAGGATCGTAGTGTGATCATTCACTTGACCTCATTTATCCAAAACAGGGAGCCGACGAAATACACCCTCCGTTTTATCTGGCGATCCGATGGCTAGTTCTAGTTGATTGGAGTGTGTAGGCATAGAACTAATTATGAGGGCAGAATAACTGTTAGAATAGATCCCTGTTAACAGTTGCCTATGTGCTGTTTGGTTAAACGGCTCCGTAAGAATTCGAAAGGATAGTGACATACGTTGTTGCCTTTTCGTCGCTCCCACTTACGCTCTTATTGTATGCAGCACGGAAGAAATGAAAGATGACTTTTACAGAAAGCTATATGAACCTTTTTAAAAATCTAAACACTCAAACATAGTGTTCATAGCAGGTAACTTTAATGCTCACATAGGTAGCTTGAAACAAACAAAAAGATATTTACGCGGGTATTTCAGTATTCCGACTCAGCGAACAGATAATGGTGATCGTCCTCTGCAATTGTCTTCAGGCAATCGTTTTTTTTCTAATAAGCACTAATTTTAGGCATAAGGAGAGACATCGTGTAACATGGCGTCCTCCTGTACCAAACTAATGATGGACTTAAATAGACCATATTGTCATCAGTCATCGTTGGGGGAGGCTCACTGGAAGATTGTCGCTCGTTCCGGAATACATGTTCAGACTCTGATCATGCTCTAATACGAGCACATATTTGCTTGAGTCTTACTGGATACATGGGACATGTTTTAATCCAATCTATATCCCTCTAACAGAAAGATATATATGAACAGTTGTGGAAACAGCAGCGACATGTATTAGTGATTTGAACTAAAGGATTACCAAAAACCAGTGAACTGCGGCATCTGTTGCACTGGTAGACTCTCTTAAGCTTATCCCATCAGTCTCCGATCACGATGAATAGTGAAAACAAATCAGATCTAGGCTAACCGAAAGTCCAAGGAACGACCTTTGAGCAGTGGTGGGCAACGAAAGCAAAAATATGGAAAAGGCAACGACTGTAGGTAACATCAGACAGCTTTTCAGACTAGTGAAAGAATTAAGAAGTCAATTATGAGTGATATTATCTCGGGAAAAGACGACACTCATATCTGCTCTCAGCTCAGACGTTTAGAACGATGAGCGATTAGGTAGACTAATATTTGAGCTAAAATCTGGGAGTTGGACGTAATCCCATCTGACTGGTCGCAATCACTGATTGTCCCAATGTATAAGAAGGGGTGAAATCATCCTGTGATAACCATAGAATGATTAGTTTGACTAACATAGCATATAAAATACCAGCCTCAATAATTATCGGTCGCCCAACAAAGACCCGTGGACCGCAGATGATATAGTCTTGTTTAGTAAAGATTCTGACAAGATGCAAAGTCATTTGGTAGCTCTGAGCAACAATGCCAGGATGTTTGATATGCGTTTCTCCCCCTCTAAATGCAAGTTGTTGCTTCAGGACTGGCCTGCATCAACACCTGAACTAAGGATAGGGAGTGAAGTAGTCGGATGCGTCAACAACTTCACTTATCTTAAAAGCCTGAACAGCTCTAATTGATTGGTGTCTGACGAAATATCTACACGGACTCAGAAAGCTCTTTTGGTTTTTGCCAATTTACGTCACTTATCGCGAAGGCGAGATATCTGTCGATCAATAAAGAGACGAGTATGCTATACAGCAGGATACTCGTAAGTTACAAGTATTTGATCACAGATGTCTTAGAAATATTGCTCGCATCCGCTGGGATCACCGGGTAAGTAATAGTGAGGTTAGACGCAGGATATTAGGTAATGATGGTAAGTCATGTTATGAGGTTGTGAATCTTCATCGACTCAGATGGTTGGGCCACGTGTTGCATATGCCTGAACACTGATTACCACGACGCGCAATGCTAACCGGTGTTCGGGATGGTTGGAAGAAAGTTAGGGGCGGCCAAAACAAAACGTGGCATCAGTCCTTGAAGTCACTAACTTGTAGTCTGAGCCATGTTGGTAGATGCAGACTACTCGGTTGAGGTTCGTGTGACTATCGTAACCAGTGATTGGAAACTCTGGGTGACATGGCTTAGAATCGATCATAATTGCGTCGGTGTATACACTCTTTGTCTTCCATTAAATCGTGCGATTAAAATTACTTCATATCTTTCTTTCTACAAACTAATTCTTTCTCTCTGTGTCATATCCCTATATACAATCATTTGTTAAAATACATATTACTACCATTGAAGTATCTGCTTCTATGAATTTGGTGTTCATCTTGTTGCTCTGATGAGGTATGGCAACTTAGACCGACGCATTTATGTGCCTGGTTCAACAGTGTAATTTATTTTAACACATACATATGGGTACAAGAGTGCGCCAAATATATATGCGCCACACAAAAGTTTATCATGTTTTTTTTGTGTGCAGGCTGAGATACTGCCTGGGTGCCCAAATCGAAGCAGGTGGTATTCTTAGAGAGCCACACCCCGAGCCTTTGACCTATAGGTCTAACCCGCAATGCAGTGGAGCATCTTGAGGAGATGTAGTCCCATGGTAGCCGGTGATCAAAGAATTGGTTCATACGCCATTTGTTCTCGCAGGGAGTGAAGTAGTTGAGTGTGTCGACCGCTTCACTGATCTTGGTAGTCTCATCAGCCCTTGTGGTCTGGTGTGTGACGAAATCTCAGCACGGATACAGAAGGCTCGACTAGCTTTTGCCAACTTGCGTCATTTATGGCGTAGGCGAGATATCCGTCTATCAACCAAAGGACATGTTTACTGCGCAACAGTTCGTCCCGTCCTACTTTGTGGCAGTGAAACATGGCCGGTAAGAGTAGAGGATATTCGTAGGTTACTAGTATTCGATCATAGGTGTCTTCGAAACATTGCTCGTATATCATGGGACCATCGAGTAAGTAACACAGTTGTTAGGAACCGGGTACTAGGTAAGGATGACAAATCAATTGATGAAGTAGTGAAACTTCATCAGTTGAGATGGCTGGGACACGTGTTACGTATGCCCAACGACCGACTGCCTCGACGTGCGATGTTCAGTACACGATCTATCCTTACGGGATCCTGCCTGTTGGTCACGAAGTTGGGCGTCTACGCAGTCCTTCATCATGTCTTCCCCTTCTCCTTTGGCCTTGAGTATTCTATGTGAAGGCTTGTCTTGTGACGCAGTTGGGCGTCCTGCATTCTGTTTAACAATACTCTGTTGAAGACTTTTCCTGGTATTGAGAGAAGAGTGATGCCCCTACAGTTATCACAATTTCTGAGATCACCTTTCTTTGGTATCTTGATCAGGTGTCCTTTCCAGTCTGTCGGTTCTTGTTCTTCATCCCAAATCTTGCTGACGAGAATGTGGAGTATCTCTGCAGTTACTGCTACATCTCCTTTCATTGCCTCTGCTGGAATGTTGTCTGTCCCTGCTGCTTTGCCACTCTTGATTTGTCTGATGGCCATGCTGATCTCTTCAATTATTGGTGGGCCAGCAGGTCCGTGGGTGCTACTTCGATGTTTGGTGGGTTCAGTTGGGTTGGTCGATTCAAGAGTTCTTTGAAGTGTTCTACCCACCTGTTTCGTTGCTCTTCAATGTTGGTTATTACTTCGCCTTTCTTGCTTTTTACTGGTCGTTCTGGTTTACGATAATTTCCAGAGAGTTTCTTTGTTGTATCATACAATTGTCTCATGTTTCCTTCTCTTGCAACCTTTTCCGCCACCGTCGCAGCAGGTGACTTTAATGCCCAGGTAGGTAGT